TAGCAACAAAACCTGAGACAGACAAGTGATGCACAAAACAGTTGCTCAGCACCCACTGACCAATGCCCAGGCTGTCCCTGAGAAGGACATTCTATGGTATGAAATATCCTTTGGCTAGTTCCTGGCAGCTGTCCTGGCTATGTTCCCACAACAGCTTCTTGTGCTTTTGTTCACTGGCAGAGCATAGGAAACTGAAAAGTCCTTGACTTTGGCTAAGCACTATTTAGCAGTAACTAAAACCTCAGTGCATTGGTAACACTATTCTCATATGGAATAAAAAAACACAACACAGTATCAGCTGCTAGGGAGAAAACTAACTCCAGCCAAAACCAGGACAACCTCTCACCTATGTTAAAGGTGAGATTTAGGGAGTTTTCTTATAGAGGGTCACTGCAAGAAATTATTGGAGTGATGCCACTTAGATCTGTTTTCCCCTGGAGAGTGTCAGGCCATAACTCAGTAAATATTGCCACACAGTTGGTCATACATGACCAGAGGATCATCCTTCTCTCCACACAATCAGGTCCTCAGAGAGGGACAGAAGTCAAATCCTAGTTCAGATGTGTTGAAAGGACTCATTTTTTGCCCATCACTTAAGCAAAGGAGCGACCAGTCTATCAGTAGAGCAGGAATATTGAGAGAGGACTGACAGCTGCATCTCATTGCATGTCTTGACTGCTAGGAGCAAGTGCACACACTAGAAGTTATCTAAGAACAGACAAGCTGGTGCCAAGTCTCCTCCTGTGCTTACAAAAGACAAAAAGCAGTTGCACTATATTCTGTACAAGAGGTTTCACAGAAAATAGGGGTTGGGCTCATTCTTCTAAGAAACTAGCTCAGTAGGTGAGTTATGTTTTGGGGCAGTGACACAGGTGAAGAAAGGCTAACCTTCCTCCCCAAGCACACATTTGTTTGCTACCCCTTCCACAGGGGGTTTGCTACCCTAAGAGCAAAACTCCTGCTGTCCTCAAACTAACCGAGAAATTGTTTCACACAGAAAGAGAAACAGTATAACTAGACAACAAGCTGATTGGAGGTGTCCAGACTTGCCAGACAAAGTGTATCCCAGCCACAACACCATTTCCAGTTTTCAAGAGAAAGCCCACTTGCTTCCCAAAATGTGCTGAAGAGAGCAGCAAGGGCAGCTGCCTATCTCCAAGCTCCCCCCGGAAGGACAAGCTCCTTGAAGGGAGATGCAGCTCCTACAGAGATGCTATAGACAGGCACTCCCCTCATCAGAGCATGAGGTACACACAGGCAGCCAAAGCACACAATTGCTTGGTGGGTTTTTAAGTCAGATTGATCCAATGCCAGCGAATTGGTTTTCATAACAGCTTGGAAAGAGTCAAGACACATTCTCCCACACACAAGTTTCTATTCACACCCACAGAATAACCCTTCCTCAGCTAAGGAGCTCATGGTCCGGGTTTCTAAGGGAAGAGTACAGGCTGTCAACAGTAACATCTAAAAAAGGCTTTCCACAGAGCTAGAAACAAATCCCCTCACCACGCACACAGCGATGCCACAGTGACACCAGAGTCCTTGCCTGCTCAGACACAGAGTTGATACATACCTTAGGAGTGTGTGGGGTGTCACGCAGCTGCAGGTTTTCCCAGCTGATGTGCAGTGGTGTTTCAACTTTGCCCCAGTTCTTGCTGATAGCTGGGGAAGCTGTCAGGGTGGGACTCAACCAGGATTTTGTCCTGCTCAGGAAAATCTCACTAATATTTCTCTGAGGGGTCACTGGCAGAGGACTGCTGTCTGGCCACTTCTGGGGCTTGCAGCTCCTCAGAGGGCTTGAGTTCAGGGAGTCATCCACCTCATTTACACTTCTGTCTTCACTCTCCTCACCACAACTGGAAAAGTCCAGTTGCTGAATTAAGTCATCACTGTTGTCCCAATCATCCATGTCACCACACAAAACAATACAGATATAGCTGATATTGGCCTGTTCTGTTACAGGGAGAAGGGCAGAGGGAAAGGAAAAATAGTGTTATTTACACAGATTAATTATGTTCTTCCTTGCTTCATCAGTTCTGTGGACCACACTCCCCCATGCCAATCCCACAACACAGAAGCCTTAATCACTCACAAGTGTAATTAGACAGCATTGGTTAATGAAGAGCACCCCAAAAATCACCAATTTCAAGTCCATTCAGCTACTACTCATGTAACAACAGATTTTACATTTTGTCTTACTGGTGGAAGTCAGATATAACTCAGAAGCCATTGCCTTTCCCAATAAACTTCCAAGGGAACATCTCCTTGCACCAGTACTTCATCCACTACTCCCCTCACACACAGAAAGAAATATATCACATCCTAAAGAACAACACACACCAACCCTCCCCTCACTCTTTTTGACCTTAAATTTCTCAGCCAGAGAAAAGGACCACATGCTACCTACAGCTGCAAAAGCAGAGGGTACTCCCAGGAGTTACCAGATACCCTACAGACAGCCCTTCTTCTGCCCTGGCACATTTATAACCACCTCACACACCCCCAGCCAATGCTAATGGGAAACATCTGGAGATAGCAGCACCTGTCCACAGTTGCCTGGGGATGGGGATTTTGCTGTGGATGTGGATTTGCTGTGCCTGCAACCAGCTCTGCAGAGAACCAGGGTTCCCTCTGAGTCTGAGTCATCTCCTGGCTTCTGCACAGTTGCTCTTCCCTCCTCCAGCTTCCCAGGGCCTACAGGAAGCTCCATGATAATCCCACCAGAGATCAGTCTTTGTAGGCTTTACTTGTATGAGTTATTAGTGTTGTGATGAAGGGGCTGTGTGCTTCCTTCTTTTAAGTCTAAATCACACTTCCTGCATTTAGATGTGTGTTGGTTTGAGTAAGTGTTGCAGCCTGCATGAAGAGGTTAGTAGCCTAATTTATAATGCATACATTTATGAATGTATGGTTTGTAAGCCTCCAGGAGAGAGTTAGGAGTCATGCAGAGGCCTTTCTAGGGGTTTCTATCTTGAGGTTTCAAGGGAGAGGAGGGAGAAGCTGGCTGTGTTGGTGATGGCAGCACCACAGGTCGGGTCGCTCTGCTGCTCACTGGGAGCAGGTCAATGTCTCCTCTCTGTCTAAAACAGAGATCTGTGCCTTTGGGAGCTTGTGTTTTGAAGAGTGATTGGATCAAGTTTTAACTAACTGGGAATGAGGTTACGGCAGCCTTTTTGCTTAGCATCAAGGAGAGCTGCTAGAGGGACCTGCAGAAACTGGAGTGGCCCACAGGATATGGGGGGTGGTCAGAACCAGCACATGCTTTCCTATGCACATGTCAAGGGCAATTCCCACCAGAACATAACAGGACGTATTTGTCTAAGGTCTCTTTGCTCTCCTGACCTGTTCTTTGAATGGAAAATGTATGGCCATATGGGTTTCTGAAGTTGCCTGTTAAGACTGTGATGAATAATTCCACCAAAATGATATCAAGAGGACATGCCAGGAACTCACTACTGGCTGCATCTGGCCCAGAGTTTGTAGTATTTCTTGCAGACAGAGCCTGTTGCTACTGCTCAGCCTCTCTTAGCCCAAAATGCAGCTGCTGCATCTCCCTGTACCTTACCCTGAGTGAGGTCCAAAAGCTTGAGAGTGCCAGCACTGGCTGCTTTTTGCTATGACAAGATGTCTCTGCAGCATCTGGCCAGCTGAGAGCCAAGACCACTTCAGTACTGCTGTGATATGGCTGTACTAATCAGATGTTTGGTACTTGGAGGGTTGGATTGGAATATATTACTTTAAATCAGAAGAAATAATGCTTTTAGTCCCTGTAACGACATGTTGGTTAATAACCCAGCAATGAAACTCCTTCAGACCACAGTTTTCAATCCCATCAGAAACAATTTTGAATTTTTTTTTCATTTTTTCTCCCCTCAGGGTTTATAGGCAGTATCCATTTTTCTAAGGAAGGATGTGATATATAAAAGAGAAAAGCTGGACTTGCTGTGTGAAGAAGGCCCAACTTCATAGAATCATAGAATTTTAGGGGTTGGAATGGACCTTACAGATCATCTAGTCCCAACCCCCTGCCCTGGGCAGGGACACCTCCCTGCTAGACCAGGATACTCAAGGCCTCATCCAGCCTGGTTTTGAACACTGCCAGGGTTGGGGCAGCCACAGCCTCCTTGGGCAACCTGTGCCAGTGTCTCACGACCCTCACAGTAAAAACCATTTTTTCTAATATCTAACCTAAACTTCCCCTCCTTCAATTTGAACCTGTTACCCCTCGTCCTGCCACTGCAGTTCCTAATATAGAGTCCCTCTCTGGCTCCCTTGTGGGCCCTTCTGATGTATGTTGTATGAGGTCTCCACGCAATCTTCTCTTCTCTGGGCTGAACAGCCCCAACATCCTCAGCCTGTCCTCATAGGGGAGATGCTCCAGTCCTCTTATCAACTTTATGGCCTCCTCTGGACTTGCTCCAAGATTTCCATGTCCTTCTTATGTTAAGGGCACCAGAACTTGTTCGTCTTGCATCTTCGAAATAAAAGCCACTGGATTTTCATTTAATATTTTTTTCTGGAGGACTACTCAAAGATCCAATGACAATTTCTTAGCCCTCAGCTGGAAGGAAAAGGTGTTTATTTACTTTCGAAGGAGAGTTTTGTTCTTCTAAAAGGGTAATACTATCTCATGGGCTAGATGTTTTCAATTTTGGAGAAATAATAAAGTAGAAAATGTGGCTTTTGGTTTTTTTGTATGTATTCAACAAACAGTGTGCCCTCAGCAGGCCCAGATTGCTGGCCAAAGTGGTATCAATAGCTCTGGTGCCACCAGGTCTCTTGCCCCATGGAGGTTCTTCCATCAAAAGCCAAGGGGTCAGAGTGTGATGACATCTCACATATCTCAGAGCCAGCACTGGCAGCCTCTTGCTCCCTGTCACTGGCTGCTCTTCCCACTGCATCCCCTACCTCATGCTGGGGCAACATTGGTGTGACTGCACTGCAAAGGGGACCAGGAGCAGCTCTGCACCACGAATAGCTTGTGTGGGTCATGGAAGAATTCTTAATTCAGGATTTGTTTCCTGCCTGGATCACTGGGGGACAGACTGACATTTGTGGCAGCACCACTGTGGGGATGGAGAGAAACAAGCTGTCACTTCAGCATCACCAACACACTAAAATGTAATCATCCAAATGAAGCTTGGCACTGTCTATATGGTTAAAGCAAAGCATGTGGCCAAGTATTTGCAGAATCTGGCTTTTCTTTATACAGTAACAAAATATTGTGCAGGGTTTGTTGCTTTTTTTTAATTTACCAGTCACCTTCTATGAAAAACTCCATCTGCTAAACACCACCTACTCTGGTCTATAGCTCTGCAAAGTAATCTTGTGCATGGGCTTTGTGAAACAAAGTGCCCACTCAGGGTTGGAGCTGTCTGAGATGAAGCTCATAGCAAATGGATGCTAATGTAAAAAAAAAAAAAAAAAAAAGAGAAAAATCCCAAACCCCATTGCTGAGGAAACTGGATGATGGGTTTCTTAATGGCATATTGAACACTCAGAGCTGCTCAACAGGAAGAAAGTTGGACAATTAAGGCTTTTATGACAATATCTTCCCTTTAATTGTGGCCTGCTTAATTGGGTAATTCGATTAATCAGAAAGACCAAGGGAACCAAATTAAACCTAACAACACTTAATGACATTGGTGGTAGCATAGCAAGGACAGTAATTACAAAAAGTTGTCTGCCTGTAGATGCCTTGTGTCTCCATCCTTCAGCCTCAAG